AATCACCACTCCAAACATTGCATTCAAATCCAGTTAAATATTTTCCATGAGTTTTCACATGAACCTACTAGTTTCATAAGATTTCTTCTCTGTTCCTTCCCTAGCAGAGCAAAGAGGACATCTATATAAAAATCTATTAATGTTATGATGTTCATGCCTCAAACTTGGCAAAACATTCTCTCTTCCATTTTAGTGCAAATTCTTTGAACCTTCATAGCTAACAAAAATGACTCAACAAGATATTTTATAACTGGTGACAAAAACCTGTGATTCCTGAACAATTCAATGTTTAATTGGGTCAAATATTTCAGTGTAATATGGGAATATGTTTATCAGAATCGCTAGAGGCCTAGTGCTAATTCTGAAGGCCAAGCACAAATGAATATTCTTATACACAAACCTTGACTCATTAGTACTGCAGAGTATTTTGTGGATTTTATTTTATGAAGATTACTCAGGGTCTATAAATTAGACTCTTAGAAAGCAATTATCTGGAAAAATATTTAGGTATAATTTGATCTGGAATCTTATGAAAGGTTTTAACAAATGCTTTCTGCTAGAAGAGAATTATAGTACTTTAAATGAAACTATGGACCCAAATCCTCCTCACAGTGGCATCCATACAACTACGGATCCACTGTCAGAAGGATTTGGAACCAAAATTTTCCTTCAAATGAATGTAATCCCTTACCATCTTGGAAATATAAAAATTTGAAGAGCACAAATTCAGCATCAGTGGAGTTGCATCACTGTCATTGGGAGGGACATTTGTCCCATTACATTAATTAGCAACATAAATTTAAAACTCCACCATGTGAACCTGATTAATAAAGATTGATTATGCCAGACACTACTGAAAGGATGTAGATAAGACATACTGTACAGTAAGAAGATGAAAGTGCCTGGCATTGAATAATGGACATGCTGTAAACTGATAACATCTGTGACTTGAGGCATAGTGTTCAGGTCTAACTGAAGACCCAAAGGTATACAAAGAGCGGCTTTACATTACATTTGTGCTTTCCTGATTCTGGGCCTGGCTAGCAGTTGGTTCATCTCCAGCAAAACCCATAGCAAATTTCAGTAATTTGCTATAACTTTATGAAGTAAAGTACTGAGAATCCTCAAAATCCATTAGAAGGGTGGAGTGATTAGCAGTGTACTTAAAATACCTTGTGCCCCTAGTCTTAGAGACAGTACCACTCTACAGGGGAGACAAACAGGTTACTCAGCAGCAACTCATATAGTGCTACAGATTCATTTAACAGTATGTATTTTTAACTTTTTATGGTAGTTTTACAGTGATGTTGTAGCTATGAAGGTCCAACAATTATGTAACAGACAAGGACTTCTTAGGGAAATATCTTTTACTGGACCAACTCCATAGTTGGGATAGTGTTAGACAAACTTTCCAATGCAGGACATTCATGAATGTATTACCAGATGAAGAATGTCTTGCATTCAAAAGCTTGTCTAACGCTATCCCAGCTATGCAGTTAGCCAATAAAAATATATCACCCTAAGAAATCTTTCTCCTGCATATCTTTTTATTAAATTAGTCATTACTTCATATCTCATATGCTTTTTAAAGTAGAAGAGAACTGTAAGGTACAGTGGACATTCCTGAGAAGAAAAAAAGCACTCAGCAATTCCTTGTCTCTCCCTCCCCAGCCCCCACTTTCCCTTTGCAAATTGTGGATGGTGTGAAATTTTCTTCAGCACATCCATAAGAAGAAATAAACATTGATCCTTTAAACCATATGTACAATTTCTTAATTCCCTACTACATTACTTTGGTAATATCACTCTCACAGCCCTTACCTGAGACTAATTTGGCATCTTCCTTCCCCTAAACTAGTACTATTAATTACCTGAGGTAGAATGTCTTGCATTTGAAAGCTTGTCTAACTTTATCTCCACTACATAGTTGGTCTAATAAAAGATATCATCCTAAGAAATACTTGCCTCTCACAAGTTAACTACCTCTCATTTTAATGCCAGAAATGTTTGTAATGTCTGAGGGGCAAATAATTTACTATAATCTTTAGATATGTCTTCACATGAGTAACTTTTCAGATTCTAGTCAAGGAGCTTATTCCTGCAGAGTCACTTTTTTGGAGGGATAGACTGTAGATTACAACGATCTTTTTAAAATCACTAATTTGGAGGTTTTTTCCTCTTTCCTTCCTTTGAAGAAAAAAGCAAATCAATTACAAAACAAACACTTCCTTACAAACAAGCTAAGGTAAAATCAAGGTTATGATCACACAATACAAAACTGCTTCCTGCTCCCTGTAGTCTGGAATCCGAACTGAGTGCACCATCCCTTTGGCTAAGATATTTCCCACCCCTTCCCGTTCTCAACTGGGCATCTGCCTAGAGTGGATGTTCTTTGAAAGGATGACAGAAGCCCTATGAACAAATAAATACATGTTTGTATCAAATTCTGTGCCAAGCCCTGAACTGGCATAGCAATCTTCAACAAGTCTGACTGCTTATAAAGAGACTTGTAAATTGAAAGGCAGGAACTTCAATACAAAAAAGTTTAACAAACAGCTCTGACCCCAAATTCCTGCTCTCTACACTGCTTCTATAGTGAACACTGCAACTCTCTTACTATAACTCCTCACATTTTCTAATGGCTGTATAATTCAAAATACTTAAATACACCCAATAGCAGGGGCAAGAGCTTAGGCTGCCTCTGCCAAGGGACTGACCTCATTACTAGCCTACAGAATCATCTTCCTTGTTTGCTTTCTCTTAGGCCAGGAGTCTTTGGCTTATCGGTTGTCTAATGGCACAGCTAAACTGGATGAGCTGAAAGTGCCCCAACCCAGACCTGCTGCTTTCCTGCGGTGTTGGGGACATTCCATTTCCACTGTGCTCTGCTCATCCCGCTGGCTTCTGAGAGTCACATTTGTAGGGGCCTAATCTTTCCTGTTGGAGTTGCAAATTTCACTCTGCATACCAGGCACCTAAAATTAGGTGTGGCTATGCTGAGTGGCACTATACCTAAATCCCTCTGCAGATCTGGCTCTTCTTGTTTGCAGTTACCATAATGTCTGTCAAAGAATAGTTTCTAGAGACTCCAAAATCAAAATACCTCCATTACTGCAGTCATAAACAGCTCTATATCTATGATTTATCTTTCTTCTTGCTTGCTCTGGCAGTCATTCATTTTGAAGGAGGTTGTGTTGCTTTTCAGAGTGTGGACTTTATTTTGTAATATGCGGTACAGACTTCACTGTCAACTTTGAACTTTTGCAACATTTGGCATTTATGTAACATGGCATTTCTTCTAGCTCACTTTTTTCCTTCTAGTTAATTAAACACTTTCTAAAATTTGTAGGACAAGCTACATAGGTAGCATTCACCCAACATGCTGTTTATGATAAAAATATGAGATTTTATTAAATCATAAATATATTGATGCAAATTAATCCTCAATACACTATCACACTGAATACAGGGGACCACAAAATTGTTAATACAGATGGGGAAAGAGGAAACCAAAACAAAAAAAGACAACAAAATGAATTTTCTTCATAATTAAATTTATTTTCCAAATGCTTAATTTATAAATGTTACTAGCCAAATTTTCAAAAATGGCTTCTAAAACTGCAGGATAATTTTTAGCAACTAAATAGACAATTTTATGGATTCAAGTTTTTGCTCATGCAAAAAGGTAGATTTGTCTGTGCAACTTGTATCCTCAAATTTACACACAAGTCTGAATGCTTCTTGAATATAAAAATATATAACTTGCAAGTTATATCCTTAGAAGCTAAGATGAACCTGCTTTAAAAATTCAGCACTTTGTATTCAGAATGATAAAATGTTGTACTTTACTTTTGAAATAAGGGAAGATATAACTAAAATAACAGGTATCTGTTCCAGCTGGCAGAATCAAGGTCTGTTTGAGAACCTGCCTCAAATTTCCTGTCTTCTAAGTGTTTCCTGTGCATTATACCACAGAGGTTAACTTGCACTTTTTTCTTTTTTTTGCACTGAGGTTGCATATATTGCTATCCCTTAAAAGTGACCAGAAATGAGCTGACTTGAGTTCTATACCTTGTACTGACTAAATCCAAGTAACAATGACAAATCTCTCATGATCTCAAGAATAAAAGATAGGGCAATATCTGACTATAAATGAGATGCATCTCATTCCTACTGCCTAAATAAAACACAATTTAAAATGACAAGTTGAAAGTGGTGTAGAAATACCAGCTCTCCACACATAAAAGGGAACTACATGGGAGAAAAAAAGATTTCTCAGGGTTTTATTAGTTGGACATACATGCATACTTTTGCTTCCTACCTGGCATTTCCTCTTGTGCTGGCAAGTTATGATTCCTCCAGTTAGAGGGATACCAATTCAAAGTAGGAACAAACTTATCAAACCTTTTTACTGTCCTTCCTCTGTCTCCTCCTCTCTCTCCCCCATCTCTTTTAATCTTATTGACAAGACTTAATATTCCTCCTCCCAATTCCAACTGAATAAGCTACCCTTTTGCAAATAGTAGTATCAAGTGTGTGGTCACTAGCTGTATAGGTCAACAATGTTATTAATATAACATACACTGCCAGGAACAGAGCAAAGAGCCACACTTTAAAATGATAGTTTTGTACAGGTACCATGAGGCAAATGGCAGCAGTTTTCTACTCATAAAACTGTTACGTTGTAAGAACAGATCCCAAACAGAATCTGGTGTCAGTTACTGCAACAAACAGCCCATCAATTTGCAGAATATATTATTTCTTTTTGTTCTCTCTCTCTCTCTCTCTCTCTCTCTCTCTCTCTCTCTCTCACACACACACACACACTCTAAAATAATACCATAACAGAAGGGTGCTGTATCTGTGTTTAAAGAAGGGGTTGTTGGCAAACACCACAGCTCTCTTCTGCCGAAATGTACACAACTGATATATGCAGCACAGAAAGCTGGCACCAGGGGCTTACAACCTTAATTTGCCTGCAAGAAGGAACAGAGATTTACCTTCAGAGCACGTTCTTGATTGTTTTCAGCAGTCAGATGTCTCGTGTTGTTTGCTGAAGTCTGGTTCTGCTCTTTCAGATGATGAAGCTCCTGCTCCAGCCGTTTGCACTGCAACGAGGAAAGAATCCCATTAAGTAAAGGAGCTGGGGCATATTTTCTCCAACAAGCCAAATGAATTAATGTAAATGACACCAGCACCATTTTTGCAGTGGAAAAAAGCCTCAGGCAGAGCAAGTTGTAATGCAAGAGATGAGATAATACTAGGCCTATACTATTTTTAAAAATAATATTCAGTCTTTTATTTATTCCCTCGTCATGAGCCAGTTGTTCGTGGAAAAGAAAGCTCATTAAGAAGTATATAGAGAAACTCTGCAAAATACATATTTTTTAAAACTTGGCAAATAAATAAGATACTCGGCCAAATTCTTTTTCTACCTGTACTCAAATGCTTTTTCTATCTATACTAGTATAACACAAAATTAGGCTTTTAAAAATATATATAACTAGATATGAGAATGTTGTAGGAAAACAATGTAAGCACATATATTTTTATAAGTATATGCATAATTTCATAAATGGTATATTAAGCTAAGAGATTATATTAATTGCCAAATGCATAACAGATTTTGGAGGGAAAAGACTAGATAAAAGTATATCTATGTTTTAATATTCAACTTAAAAAAGCTGGATAAAACATTTTAATTTTTCTCATTGTGTGCTTACGTACACAAATGTTTAAAGCAGTAAAGTTGAATAACTATTTTAAAGGGCAAAGTGTTAAGACTATCAAATTAGCAGCCAAATCACATTTTGCCAGTTTTAAAGATCGTGATAAGGGATAAAACCCAGCTACCTTGGCTTAACATAGTAATTTAATTGTTAGTAGAAAAAAAATCCCCTATAAAAACAGAGAAATAGGAAGTGGAGATGAAGGTTCAGTGGATTACTAAGGGCATATAAGAGAATAACTGCTAAAGCAAAAGTAAGAGGGGAGAACATGATAGCTAAGAACATTTATAACAACAAAATATTTTTAACATACCACATGTTACAATGGAACCATTACAATATTAGTACTGAAAACTAAAATGATGAGACAGAAGTTGAATATTGAAATGATGAAACAGTGTGATGGATAACATTTCAAGCCTGGAAGAAAGGAATGAAATCAGTGACTTGCTGGCCACTAAAATAGTGCTCCCAAAACAGAAAACTCAAAAGCAATCATCCTGATGGTTTATGACCATGGGTTTATATATAAAGTTCAGTAAAAAATTGTTAATTTTTCAGTAATCTCTATTCACCTCTCCAGTATGCAGTACTAGAGTACTGAAGCATGACTCCTAATGTTTAAGGGGAAAAGATGTGAACAGAGATCTATAGGCCACTGAGTCTCGTTTCATATCCAAGTAAAATTCTGTTGACCAGTATAGACAGTCCTGCAGAATGATGCAATCTGCTCAAAACACAAACATTATGAAGACATACAAAAAAGTATGATACAAGATAACCTTATTTTCTTTATTCAAATTCTAAATCACAAGTATTTAGCACCAGAAGTAGGAAGACCAGTAGTTGTGGCTTTGGCTATTTTGTGTACTTGCATTAGAAGCCTAAGCTTGGAAAGTTACCAATTCTAATGTGATTTTCCAGGTTGAAGATAGGAATATCACTGCGACTAGCATATTACTTTAAACTAGAGTCATTTTGGATCTGTGCTGGCTGTACTACAATATATCAATTTTTACATAAATAAGAAAAACGTTTTTACAATAATAGGGAAATCCAGAAAATTGTTAAATTGTACCACGACTATAGTTTTATAAAGCAATTACTGACGTTTTGAGTTTAGTTTTAAGGGTTATCTTACTGAAAATGGCTATTACAAACTACAGCCTATACTTTCCTTTTCAGTATCCAGCATAAAAAAATATGTTTCTGTGGATATCATAGGTAAGGTGATAGGAAAATTACCCCAACAACTTTATGAATCACTTAAATCCACAGTCACACAGTACAATTTCTCTAATATATGTAGCCTCAGAACAACAGAATTTTAAAATTGACCTGTTAATTCACTCCTTATTATGAATTATGAGTTTTCAATTGCCATTTTCCCTTGGTATATTTGTTATTTTTCCTTTTCAACAATGCCTCCTTTAAAAAAAATCTTACAAATCTTTAATTTTGAAATTCCTCAATTATTATTTTGATTATACCAGTGATATTTTGAGCTTAATGAAGTAATTAAGTTAAAAGACCAAAATCTTAATGAACCTTAAACCCCCCCCAAAAAACCCACACAGTTTTCATGCTGCTCTCCTGACTCAAAAATAAGTTTGATATAACGCAAATACCAACCTTAGCTACTTTACAATCCAAAAACAAAACGCACTTCAGGAAGTCTGAACAACTGAGGGCCTCAGCGTGCACTTTATAACCTGCTTCTCCTGCCTGCTACACTCTTGTGAAGAAAGAAATTTGAATTAAGTAGAAACAGCAGGGTTCTTACACCATTCTGCCTATTCACAGACAGGTAGAAGAACAGTAGTGCAAATGCTCACACACGGAATCTCTAGCTCAACAGCGTCTTTTACTCCAATTAAATATTCCATTAGGGTTTCCCCTATTTTAAGGGGGGGGGGGGGAAGAGAGGGAGGCGAAGATCCTCTTTTTCATTGAAACATTTGCAAATGGAAAATCAGGTATGTTGCTACAATCCACTGAAAGTTTTGCTTTAATTTGACCATCACAGGAAAAGGTGTCTGGTTAACCTCTCTGTAATAGATCATACAAGTACAAGACTCATATCTCTTAATTCACTCAAAATAATGATTAACTAAAGCTGTTTCAAGCAAATAAAAAATATTTTTTTTCCTCCTGGTCCTGAATACAGAAGTTAGCCATGTGTCATCTGTTAAGAATACATATTATAAGAAAAAAAGTTATCTTATATTATTGTACATTCCATAAAAAGCTTAGCTTTACAAAAGTTGTATATTTAGACTATTATTAATATTAAAATACTCTACTGAAAACTAAACAACTTTTTCACAAAGGTAAAGAGCATATGAAGTTTCTTTGCAAACAATATTTCTACTGTCCAGAAAGAAGTTTTAAAAATAGTTTTAAACAATGTGGCCCTTCTATTCAGTTTGGCCAACATTTTTTGAATTTGGTGTCATTGGTAGTTAGCCGGATCCAATAAAAATAGGTATTCTTTTAAAGAACATGTTTTTTTATTGGTTCCCTTCATTGCTGAAGGACGCCAACAGCTGCAAGTAAGAAACTGGACTTCCTTCTAAAAACATATATAAAAATACTTTTTGAGTAGGGTGAAGAGAAGTCACAGGCCAGTTTAGTATTGATGACAAGGAAACATAAGATTTTTTCACAAAGCAGAGGCCTAAAGGAAGTTTTTTCATTTTAAAAATCATAACTAAGAACTTCTAAAACCTGCAGTACCAAATTTATTAGAATATATATTTATGAATTGGTTAGGATGAATCCTAGAGAAATCAGATAAATTATATTTTTTTCTAAATGGTACACTGGTGATTTTTTTTTCTAAATGGTACATTTTAATATGAAAGACAACTACTCACCTAGAGGAAATTCTTCATTAAATTACCATGTTTTGCCAAAGGTAATGATTATTTAAAAAGTGTTTGTTTCTTATTTCAGCTATCACACATCCTTAGCAGTATTGGCAGAAGCATGTGCTTGAAGGTCAGAGAAGATAAGCATGGAAGAGAGTCTTGAAGATTTATCTAAAAGTCACTAAAGCCTTTGGGCTGGCAGTGGGTTATATCCTTTCATATACATTTTGCATAGTAACCCTTAAGGATCATTTAAATTATGATAGTAAAATTCACGCACATAAAATAAGTATATACACAGAGTACTCAAATGTGAGGTAGGATATGCCAAAAAGGAAGTATTAGACAGAAAAGAGGAGAGGTTTTCCTAATCTTTTGTACATATTCACTCTAAAACTATCAATCCCAAACTAGCATTGTCATGGTCACAACCTACATGAGTCAGTGCTACACATTAAGGCTATCTGTATCTCTATTCCTTTACCAATCAGCAGCTGCCTTTTCATAGTTTCATAGTTTCATAGATTTAGGGTCGGAAGGGACCTAGTAGATCTTCTAGCCCGACCCCCGTGCCCCATGACAGACACAGTCCCACAAGCCCGACCAAACTGCTTTTGTAGAGCAGTTGCCAATAAAATATTCTTTCCCCAGTATTGGTTACTCTCAGTTGTCTGAGAGAGAATGTTGGCTTTCTCTTATTATTGCAACCAGAAAGAATTGTAATAGTTAGTGAACCACTGTGTGATAAAAGTTGGCAAATACATGTTAAACACAATCATTACACCAACTATCAAAATATAATCACTTCTATATGTTTTCCCCCCCATGAATTTCAGAGGTAGTTTGAATGGGAATATATGATGGGAAATATAACAGCATTCACATATGTCCGTGTCCTTCATTCTATGCTTAGTGGGCAATCGAGACAGATACTAGAGAGCATGCTTAACTTCTACTGTACCAAGGCTGGAGATTGGGACCAATTGCCCACTAAGCATAGAATGAAGGACATGGACATATGTGAATGCTGTTACTAGCTTAGACCTCCCCTACCTTTGATCTGGAGAAGTTAAAGACCCTTCTTATGATGGCACTACAGTCCCACAGCTAGGAAACAGAGTAAGTGTGCATTGGTAGTCAATCCTGGGACAGAGGACACAAAATCTGAACAAATATATGTGACCTAGTGAAACAGAACTTAATGAGATTAAGAGGTAACATAGAGATCTGCCAGGTAGAGGAACTGTCAGGCAGAAGAGACATAAAGAGGAAAAAGTGGCAGAGCGGTAGCAGTGAGATATATTCAGAATGGGGTACAGGGAACAGATAGAGGCATACTTAAAAACATACTCTGATTCTTCTTGTTCTCCAATTAAAGCCCCCAAAGCTAGGGACAGACGTTCAAAAAGCCTGACCCTGGATTGATTCAATCTTTGCAGGTTAGTTTAACTTGGCTAGGCTAAACCAGTTTGTAAGTGCACAGACATCCCCTCTGGACTGAAAAAATTC